CCACACCACCTGTCCCCCACCTGTCCACACCACACCTCCTCCAAGCCGCCCCATCCCCCACCTTCCTCTGCACGGCTTTGCTACTCCTTCATCCTTTACGTCTTTGTTTTGCAGCATGGGGAATTGAACCTAGGGCCTTGGCTCTGAGCAGCTCTTTTTCTACACTTTATTTCAAGACGGGGTCTCACTAAATGGCTAAGTTGCCCAGGGTGAACTCAAACTTGATATCCTCCTGCCTCGGCCTCCTAGCGTCACTCGTCCTCTTGCCCAGGGTTTCTTATGTCCCTGCCCGTGGCCTTCCCAGGCTTGCTAACACCACAGTTAAAGGGCTGAAAAAGAAAAGAGTCAAGTACAGGCCTGCTCTGAGCCCCCTTCTCTCAACCTTTGTCCGATGCTTCAAGTCTACCACCAAGCACTCCTGGCTCCCCCAGAGCTCAGCACAGGTCCCAGGATGCACTGGGGGTGGCCTAGTTCCCACCTGAGGGAACCCTAAGACCAGGCTGAGCACACACAAGAAGCCTGTGCTTCCCAAGGGATGGAACTGGGAGACTTGCAAGGCCATCGGAGTCCAGGGTCACTCTATAGGTACTGTGGGGCCACTCTGGTGTGACGGCCTCCTGTCTTAACAAGGATGGAACTGGTCTTCAAAACCAGTCTTCCTAGTCTACCAGACTTCCATCCTGGAATCAGGGCCTATCCAATGAGTCCCCTCTACATCCTGGAGCCCCTTAGGACCCAAAACTTGGCAGTCTCCTAAAGCAAGATTTCTCCTTTCTTTGCTCAGTGCTTGACTCGAGTCTCCTTGCAAGTAGGACTTGGCTTGTCCTTGCTTTTGATAAAGGACTTTGCAAGGATCCTGCCTAGGAAATGTTTGTTGACTGAAATAAAGAAAAGGACACTTCTCACAATGTCCTTCTTTTAAAACTCACACTCTAGGGACTGGGGAGATAGCTCAGTAGAATAAGCACTTGCCTGGCAAGTGCAAAGGCCTGAGTTCAATCCCCAGTTCCACAAAAGAAAAAAAAACAACAACAACAACAAAAAAACACCTCATGCTCTACTCAAGAAAACATCTATTGAGGCCAGGGAGATAGCTCAGCAGTCTCAGTGCCTGCCTGGCAAGTGCAGGGACTGGGTTCAATCCCCAGCACCACATGCCACATGGGCCCCATCCCTGGGCATGCTGAGCCAGCCACCAAAACCGGGCATGGTGGTGCACACCTGTAATCCCAGTGCTGGGGAGGCTGAGGCAGGAGGATCACTACAAGTCTGAGCTGCATAGGGAGACCCTATACCAAATACATAATTTTTTTTTTTTAAAAAAAGACACATTTCTAGTGTCTGTAGGCTCCAAATGTTTGCTTCTATACAAGCAAACATTTTGCTCTCTACCTCACTGTAGCAAAAGGTATAAATCAAGATACAATTAGTTTTCCTACACCTGATGCAATGAGGAATCTGGACAGCCTTGCCACCTAACCGGCATGGTCTCATCTTGTTGGTCCTGCCCTTTAAAGGAGGGGGCTGGCTCAGCCACATGTATCTACTAGAAAATACAAGTGTGAAAGCATTCCAAACTGCGTGGCTTCACCACTGGCATGACTACGGGCCCTGTGAGAACTGGTAACCTGGAGCCAACGCGAGACGGGCTCGTACTGAGGGCTGCGGGCCAGGGCTCAGGGTCCTGCATCACGAGTCTGCAGGCTCTCCAGGTCTGTAGGCTTTGTCCCCCATCTGATCCCCAAAGAGGGCAATCATGCATCCTTTGTGACCGGAGCCTGCAGTTCCACACACAGGGCTTCTCACAAAGCCAGGCTGGTGTGCCAATCTGGACAGGCATTGCAAGGAGTCAGGAGGCGGGTGCTAGGATGACTGACAGGGCTCTGGCTGCCCCTGGCAGGGCACCAATATGGCCCAGCCTGATCAGAACCCACACCTGGGCGTAATATAAGCATCTCTACCACCAAATTCCTAGCCAGTCATCTCTCATTCCAAGGTCCCCAGTGTCTCCCCATAGAAATCTCACTCTGTCCCTTGTTGCCTGCCTCCAAAATAAAAGGATCCTTGGGAAACCCCAGGAAACAGAGAAGAGGGGTCTGGAGTTCTGACAGTCTTTGAGACTCACCATCGTGTTTCACAGAACCTGGTCCTGCCCTTTCCTATGGCAGCTACACATAGTCTTCTAGGGACCGTGTCCTGGTGTCCACCTCAGTGACTTTCTCCTACAGAGCTGAGCTCTCAGGAACCAGCCTCAGCCCCAAGAACAGGTGGAGACCCAGCATGTGGGCTCCCTCTCCCAGGTCCCAGGCTGCTGTCCCTCCTCCCCTTGCCCCGCGTCAACAGCCTCCCTTTCCCCCCACTGACCACGAGCTCTGCAAAGCAGACATTAAGCTCCTCAGGGTTCGGGATGGGACTGGAGAACTCCATGTACTGCAGCGGGCGGTTGTCCCGCAGGTTGATCTCGGGGAGGTCGCTGCCCCCAAAGCAGCACAGGAAGCCCAGACCATGGCGGCTCCTCTTGCGGGGGGCCATGGTCACTGTGGCCCGAGTGGTCAGCACACAGGTGCCCTAGGTCCTCATCGCGACCTAGAAGGCAGAACAGACAGCATGGGTGGTCAGGCATGGCAGCCGGCAGTCACCACCTTCACACCCTCTCGGTCCCACAGATGGAGCGGCTCTCAGTCTTATCGCCAGGGCCTGCTCGCTTCCTCCACAGCTTCCGCTTCCTCCACTCGCTCCACTCGCTCCACTCTGAGGCATCCACATGTCCTCCCACCAGGCCAACTGAGTCTCTCTCCCTGTCCATCCCCTCTCTTTGTCCGCAGAGAGAAGAGGGCTGAGGCCACAAAAAGAGGCTTCCAGGTGGTCAGAGCGGGCCTCATTTTATACTGTCCACGTCTTGCAGCTGGGATTCTATTCCCTGTCCTCACGAAGACAAGATGTTTGCTCACTCTTGATTCATCTCAGGCTCTCAATGTGAAGTAGTGGGGAGCAAAGGGTAGAGATGGGTGGGCAGGGAAACACCAAGCTTGAATCTGCACAGCTCTGAGAGCAGGGGCCCATAGCAGAACCCAGGATGGAAAGTTCTAGAATCTTCTCAGTGTCCTGCCCCGGCTGCTGTACTCAGGTATGTCAGGGTAAATGGGAAATGTCAGCAAGGTAGTGGCTCACCCTTCCATAAAATGAGGCCAGTGGCCCTCAGAAAGCTCACCCAGAAGTCGTGAGCCTAAACCCCTGATAAGGGAGCAGGGAGGACCTTTGGGTGATGCTCAACACATGGCAGGAAGTTGTCTGCTTAGATCTGCCTTTCAGACAACCAAGAACAGAGGATGCTGGCAAAGACGGGCTGAAAGCAACAAACGTCCAACAGTAGCACAGTGGCTGGAGCACAAAGGGTTAAGAGTCTGGGTCGCCCCCAGGCAGGCTGAGTTCAGTGAGGACAAGACTGAGGAGAAGCGCTGCCCCAGGAATAGCCGTCCCATAGCCTCAGGGTCAGCAAGTCCAATTTTTATAAGATGATATAACAGGAAATATAAAACATGACAATTTTATCAAATTTATTCAATATAAGAGTCAACTGGTTGAAATAACACCTACCCAAGCGACAGGACTGGCAATATATACGAAAACATGCTGCCCCAGTGACGCACAAGGAAAGCTACTACGTGGTTAAACCCAGCACCAGACCACCTAGACAGGGCCCGCAGAGACCAGCAGCCCTGCCTTGATGACGGCCATGCCAGATTCTTCTCCTACTGGATTTAGAGATCTTAATTTTTAGTATATAAGTATCAGATTCTGTTCCTAATCTCTGCTGGCTTGGGAAGAAGGTGTCAAGATTCGGTTTGAGTCCTAAGTCACAGCTGTTTCTCCTAGATCCAGATCACCACAGATTAGAAATGCCCTCACGTTCCCCTGGTTTCACTGGTGAAACACTCACTGCAAGGACGCAGACCTCAAGGACACGACAACCCCATCCTTGGATGTCCTCTGAGCAGCTCTAAGTCCATGTGACTGAGCTCCTACCCAGCGTTCTTTTCCATGAAAACATGAGAGATTTTTCCCAAAACCTTTTGGAACTCAAGGTATGCTAAAGACAAAGCATTTTGAACAAAGCTCTAGAATGTTATCATAAAAAAACATAAGATAATGCGCCATAAATTACGAGACAGAACTTATTCCTAGTGACCTTAAGGCAACTTTCAAAGGACATGGTTTTATTTTCTAACTCTTCATCTAGCTAGTAACATAGTATAATCATATGTGACCTGTCATCTAAACTATGGTTATTTATTTATTTATTTATTTTTGCTGCACCAGGGATTGAACTCAGGATCCAGCACTTATTCTACTGAGCTATCTCCCTGGGCCCACTATGGTCCATTTTAAGGCATTATTCTAGAGCTTTCTATTGGCTCTGTTTCTATCTTAACACAATTTGTGTGATGGGCTTTTTATTTTATTTTTTTAATTATTTATTTATTTGTGTGTGTGTGTGTGTGTGTGTGTGTGTGTGGCCAGCTCAGCCCACCAGGGGGCGGGGCGGGCTGGCATGTGGTGCTGGGGGATTGAACCGCGGTCCCTGTGCTTTGTTCTAAGTAGGTGCTTTAGACCACTGAGCCATCTCACCAGCCCGTGATGGGCTTTTTAATAAGTTCAGGAAACCCTCAAATTCCACAGTAGTGAAAGATGCCTTTTTCTGTTTCTGTGTTCTCAAACAGAGAGAGCTCCCTGAAGGCAGGGGCCATGCTTCTTGTTTCTTTGACATCCACTCCCCCCTTCCACAGTATCTTAGTCACTTTCCTCATTTCTGGGACAAAATATCCAACACCTGCAACTTAAAAAGAGAGGTTTATCTTGACTCAGAGTCTGTAGAGGCTTCAGTCCAGGGTCAGTTGGCTCCAAGAAGGCCAGCGTGGTACAGAGGCATGCTGGAGGAGGAGCTGCTGGTGCGTTCTGGTGGCAGGCAAGCAGAGAGTGCCGAACAAGGAGCCAGGAAGGAGGTACAGCCTTCCAGGTGTTTCACACAGTGACCCACCTCTTCAAACCAGGTCCTACCTAAGTAACAGCAAGCCACCTACACTGACCCTACAATCCAATCACCTTCCAAAGGATCGATCTATGATCACTAGAATGAGGCTTTAGAGAAGTACTGGCAAGTCTAGGGTAAGTGAGCTTCAGTGGGTTGTTATCACTGAAAGCTCTAAAAGGTCCACCATCACTGCCTTTGGGGAACATCCAGATGCAAACCATGACATTTTGTCCCCCTCAAAAAGACAAAAAGGAAAAGATTCATGCACATGTCTTTATGCAAACTGCATCTAATCCACCTCTAAGAGTTGCCAAAGTCCTAAGAGTTCCAACATTACTGAAAACTCTTAAGTCTCCTCTGAGACTCAAGGCAAATTCTTACCTTCGGGCCCTGATAAAAATTAAACACTTTTTCCATACAATGGCACTGATAAGCATTCCCAATCCAAAAATGCAGAAGAAGGGGAAAGGACCCGTGGGACCAAAGCACGCCTGAAACACAGCCCGGCAGACATTAAATGCTATAGCCCCACGTCCAGTGCTCGGGGAAAGCTGTGGTGATGAGACCTGAACTCCCAAGCGTTTGGCGCTCTGCCCCATAGCGGTGCTGGCGATTGTGGCCCTCGTGGCTCCCTCGTGAGCTGGCTCTGCTCACCCCCTGCAGCTTTCCTGAGATGTTTCACCTCCCGGCCTTCTGCAACTTTCTCGACTCTCCGCTGCACTTCTGGCTTTACTCTCGCAGCCTCACACATTGCCCTCATAGGCTCACTGCCTGGCCTCCAAAGCCTTCTTCTGAAATCTGGGTGGAAGCTCCCTGACCCCGTGGCGCTGGCACGCTGCATGCCCGTAAAGCCGGCACCGTGTGGATGACACCACGGTCAGACGCTGGCTTGAGCAGTAGCCGAGCTGCTTTGTATCAAGGCTGCCGAGGCCTCTGGGCGCCCGCGTACTTGGGCATGGTAAATGGAATCCTAGGGAATCAAATCCCTTGGTGGCCTTTCTCCAACAGTGACTGGGGCTCCCTTCTCAAACCAAAGTCTTTCACTTTTGCAACTCTGAGTCTGCGAAGAGCGAAGAGCGGGGCCTTACAGATTTCTGAATGACTGCAAGCCATGTTTCCTGTTGTCCTCCTCCCCAGTGCTTCACTTCTTTTTAATGCTAATCTTTTAGCAACCAAGCTCTCCTCTGCCCCTACTTTATAGGCGGTTCTTTCTGGCAAAACTGAAAACTTTTCCAAAAGGCTTTCTGCTCGCAATTTTAGTATAAACCTGCTAAAAGCAGCAAGCAGAATCCATGCCACAGCCTCCACACTGGAGTCCCTGGAACATTCCCAATCGGATCAATGAGTGTGCCACCCTTAATCTTAGCATCCCACAAAGTCTCAGGACATGAACAACATGTAGACACATTTTCTATCGGAGTGTAACACGCAAGGCCTGGAGTCCAACTGCCTGCAGTCCTTGTTCCCAACAGAAACCTCCTGAGCCTCAGCTTTACTATCAGCATTTCTGCCAATATCCAGATCTTCTGGGCACTGACCACGATTCTGACTGGAATCTTCTTCAAGCTCAGATTATAGCATTCTAGGGCCATTTCTCCAAATGGCCAACTCCAAACCTTTCCATCCACTAGTCCTCAAATCTTCTCAACCATACAACCAGGTAGTAACAGCAACAACTCCACCTCTCTGGTGCTAAAATCTTTCTTAGTCACTTTCCTCACTGCTGGGACAAAATACCCAACACTTGTAACTTCAAAGAGAAGTTTATCTTGGCTTATAGTTTGCAGGGCTTTCAGTCCAGGGTCAGCAGGACAGCATGACACAGGGGAATGGAGGAGGAGGAGAAGCCATGTCATGGTGGCAGGGAAGCAAAGAGTGTTGAAGGAGAAGCCAGGAAGGGAAAAATAACCTTCAGGCTCATGCCCACAGTGAGCTGCCTCATCCAATCAGGCCCTACCTCCTACCAGCAAGCCAGCTGTAATGCACCAAATGTAAACCATAACACAGAGCCAACCAAAGTCATGATGAGAAGATACTCTTGGTCAACTGGAAAATAATGTATGTTTCTGGAAAAGGAAGAAAGAGGGGTCTTTCTTAATCAGTCAGGAAACACTGACTGCAGTCTGAGGACTAGCAATTGCTAAGCAATAAGGAACCTTTGTAGGAAACAAAAAGAGGACAATCCCAGAGGCTGGGGGTGAGAAGGCCAACAGCAGGCTAATGCAGCAATCGTGCTGCATGGTGACAAAGACCTGGAATAAGCAAGGAGACATTGGGGTTTCCGTGGGATGTGGTACTCATGGCCCAGAGTGGGTAGGGCAAAGCTCTGGAATCTGACTGGCTCTCTTAGGAGAATACCAAGTCTGCAGGCAGACAAGGATGGATTACTTGGGGGTGCCTGGCCCCCCAAGATGATCATGTAGAAACAAGACCAGGTTCTCCTTGTTCACCAGCCTCAGAAATACAGCAGTCAGTGGGGGTGGTGGGGGAGCACAAGAATGGGGAGAAACACTCACAGAAGTTGTAGTGAGGCTGGGCCGGGATTCTCCAGAAG